CACACCCCCCTGATGACGGCCAAGGGGCTGGAAGGGAGAGCAGCAGCGCCACGCTCTTGTCAAGGGCACCCTCTCCAGTCACTTTTTCCTTCCTAAATAAGTGGGCACGAGTTCCAATCTCAAACAGAGCTTTCCATGGGGTCAGTGGGACACAAGCTCTCTCAACACCTCTAGTGAAAGGTGGTCCTTGACACTACAGCGGCAGAGACCAGATGGAGTTGACGCTGAGCTCTGACACGCAAGCCCAGGGAACCAGGGAAGGAACTTGTATGAACTTACAGCGCAAACCGTCAGCAGACTGGGAAGAGTTTTGAGGGTTACGGTAAATGTTCAAGAGGGCAATGGTCTGAAATACAAAACGCAACAACTTTATATCATGGAAAATTAAATGTAAACACTTAACCGGTTTCCTGTGGCGATCACTTCAGTCAAGACTCAGTGCTGAAAAAAGAGCAAGTTATTTTCTTTCGAAGCAGAGCTGCTCCCTCTTAGCTGGTGGCTGTCTTGGAGCCCCTGACGCTGCCACGCAGCAGAGATCCCATGACATGCTCGTATTGTATTTCTGTCACACTGTAAAAATTCTCCATTTCAAAGTTCCAATCCAGTTAAGAATGCAAACAACTCGGCAGGCTACTACCAAAATATTCCTGTTACAGGAAACTTTTAATGAACAAATGAGAAAGGGTGCCTGTATAAACTGATTAGAGAAATACAATAATTACGTATCATGAAATCTCTACTTCCTAGAGGAAAAAGTATAATGGTGAAATAAAACCCACACTTATTGGGCAACTTACCTTATTAAATCCTAAATAATCCTAAAGTTTTTGATTTCACAGAAAGAACTTAATAATTGCCAGGGGTTCAGTCACTGTGAAGACCAATGACTGGCTGGGGACGGTTGGGTGTCACAGGGCCGGACCCCTCTCGTTAACAAACGTCCACGGTGGGAAGAGGTCCGGCCAGTGACCTCCCGGCCAGCCTGATGAACGCAGCCAAGTATCAAGTTCTTGCCGTGTGCGCCAAGGACCTCCGGCACCGTGTCCTGTTTGCAACAGCTCTATGTCAGCAGCTCAGAAGCCAACATTATTTGTCTCAATTAAGAGTGGGCTCTTTAACACCATTGTTTTAAAAAAATTTCTCCAACTGTGGGACTTACAGTGTGAGCCGTCAGCCGTCTGTGCACTGTTTTGGGGATTACGATAGATGTTTTGAATCAAGATGGTCTGCGGGGAAAAAAAAATAAAAAGGGGAATTCTACTGGCTGCTGTGCATATATTAGACAATTGCAAAGAGACAACTTGTTTGCAAATGGCTCAACGCCTGCTGTTTGTTTCCTGCAAGTCAGACACCTGTCTTCTGAAGAGTACACCCAAACCATCATATTATGAAAACAGAGTTTGAGCGGTGACTTAGGTCAAGTGACTTAGGTCAAGTCAGCCAGCAACCAAGAAGAAATTGTAATTGTTATTTTGAGTAGTCCCATGTCACTGAAGTGTTTTAAGACAAGGTAAATAATAGAACACTAACATCTCCTCATACTTCGAGCTAGCAGACACTATGATGTCGAAAAATTCACATTATAATCATATTCCCCACATGAAAAAAATTTTTTTAAACCAAATGCATAACCCAAGTATATGTAGTCCATCAAGCTCTCTTGATCTCGTAGGAAACAGGCACACCGAATGGGTTTCCTAACTCTCATGGACACCTATCATATTTACATTTTCTTGGTGGGATCTCTGTTTACATAATACAATAGCTTAAAACATTTGCTCTTTTCCAATCCTTCTTTTAAGGGAAAAAAATCCTTTTAGCCCTTGTGCTTTAAACTGGATCAGGCAGACTTGAAACCTTACATTGTACCGTTCTTCTTAAACTCAAGTTGTCTGAAAAAACAAACCATGTTTAAGTTAGTAGGCTAGCATTACATGAATCTTAATGTCCACATCACTGTAAGAAGCTTAAAAAGAAACCCACACTGAATTATGCCAGATTTACAAGCTGAACCAATAAACCGCATGATTTAAGAAAATATTCAGTCTCAACGTGTATCCAAAGCAGTTTTGTAAGTGGTTCCACAGAACCGGCCGGCTCCGCTTCTAGCTGCGGGGTCAAGGGGAATGGTCGTGCGGGTCCCTCAGCCGCAGGTCTGCTCTGGGAAACCCACCTGGGAGGATGCCCGCCAGCCACACAGCACAGCTGTCACCACACAGCACAGCTGTCACCACACAGACCCACCCCCAGGGCCTGGCCTCTCTGCAAGCCACTGATACCGCCCCGAGTCAACCACTTAAGGACACCGATGTTCCCAAAGCCAACCGCACTTGGTTTTTAACTGGAATCACCAGTGTGGGACAGCTCTGATGGAAAGCTATACTGAGCCCAGTGATCCAACAGGAAATTCATTTTAGCTCTCACTCAGGTCATCTGGCAGTAGCTGTTTAATAATAAAAGAAACTTCACTTAAAGGGAGTAATTCAGTTCCATTAAAATCACAGGTGGTCAGGATTACCTAAAGCCAACCAAACGAATCATAACAAGATGTTCAAGTTAACACATACACCTGACCCCACCAAACTTTAACGGGATCACGGCCACTGGCCTAGTGAGGGAGATTTAGTTCATAAATGGAAGCACTTAAAAAAAAAATTACAACAAACAGAAAACGTAAAGCGAATTCTCCAATATTCTGAATTTCAAAAGAGACATGTTCAAAGCTATTAAATTAGAAAATACTGTCTCTGTCTTACAACAACTGACTGACTTTCCTAAATACTTATACACAGTGGTTCTGAGGCTGCACATTCAGACTTCACGGGAGGCTTGAAGGAGCTCAAGAGCCCTCAGTCTGGAAAGACTGAAGTATAGATTCTTTTCAAATCCAAACATTCAGGTAAACACGGACAGAAGTTTTCTGTTCCTCCCAGAGGTACTTTCTCCCTTTAATTCACTGGATCTGGTGCAGGGTGTAAACCCTTGCCTTTTCTTCAATTAGCCAAAAATAAACTATCAAAAATCACCATTTCTGACTGATCTGAACTCACAACATAGCCAAGCCCAAGTAACAGGCATCTCTCAATTAACTGAACAGACTGGCCATGAATAACTGAAAGTAAATGCCTGCCTTCTAATGTTAACTTTCATTGTTCATGTTTCTAATGACGTGATACAACTTGCTGTGTCCTTGGCTGCAGTCTCAGATGGGACACACTCAGGAGTATTGGAGAGCCCCTGCGTGCACAGTGTGATGGCTCTGCTGACCATCACACCAGCGTCTCCTCTAAGGTGGCTCCATCCACCTCTACTGCCTGGAGAGCAACAAGCAGAAAGCCAGCTCTGCATCTACCAGCGCCTGGAGCAGAGGCGAAGGCAGCGCAGGCCCGGCTGCCCCTCCCAGCCCACGCCTGTTAGAGGCAGGGAGGGTGGTAAGGCAGTGAAAACCACTCACAACCGATAAGTTTTTCTAATGATAAAAACAGGGAATGGTGCTCACAGACCTTCCGCTAGGGGTGGTTCACCTGCCTCATTCTCATTTAAACACACACATTTATGAACACAAATGGAAAATAAACTATAGAAAAAAAACCCCTGCTCATTAACACATGGAAATTAACTGCCTCTGTAAAGTACATGAAGTTTTGATCATTTACATGAAAATGGAAAAAAAAAAAGGGAAAACAAACAAACCTGGCTAAAGGTCGGTTTATTGTGCAACCGAGAGCATCTGTCTCCATGACGACATGCTCCAATTTTGAAATAAAATGAACAGTTGACTCTGTAAGGGAAAATAAGAACTGATTATTTTGCTGGGAAGATAACAAATAGATGGAAATATGTCATCAACATGATAAATGCTATCAAACTACGTTTCTTTTACTTCACAAGAACATAGGCACATTGTTTTTACTGGGAATAGGCACCTTCCCATATTTTAGAACTACTCAGCTTCAATTTGCCCCCCTAAAAACATGGTACTCTTTCAATGAAGAACACTCGAATTCTAACCTGGTTCCTCTGCATTGGAATCCCCTCCACTTTCAACTACAGTTGACCCTTGAACAACAAGGGCTTGAACTATGCAGGTGCACTTATATTCAGGTTTTTTAGTCATTAAATCCTATGGTACTACACGACCCGTGGTTGGATGAAGCGTAGGATTTGGAAGAGCAGACGTGGGCTGACTGGAAGCTAAACTCAGACTGGATTCTGACTGTGCAGGGGGTCAGCCCCCCAACCTCCACGTGGTTCCAAGGCCAACTGTACTTGTCTACCGTCTCCTCTTACATTGTGCGTATTAGTTAATCTAAACCTGTATTTAACTCGAAACCTATCTGTCCTTTAGTCTTCCACAATGAAATTCTCTCTTGAGGACATCAACACGGTGCAGCGAGGGATCAAGATCCTGAGTCGGCTACTAGCTGCCTGGACTTGGGCCAGTAGCCCGCCCCTGTCCAGGTCTCAGGAGCCATCTGTAAACTGAGGAAAATGCCAACATGGCACTGTTCCGAGAACCAGAATCAGATGTACCATCTGTGTGCTCATTACACGTAGTCATTATTATCTAAATAATCACAAAGTCCAGGTTCCCTCACCCAAGACACCAGACCAATAGGAAATTTCCAAAAAGAGGTCCTCCTGGTTTCAATACACTGAAAACAAGCTATTGGGGAACTCCCCCCCCCCCCCCCCCCCTAGGAACTACACAAGGCCACCTTCTGTCCCCATATTGCAAAGCCCTTCCTTAAAATGCTCCAATACTTGGGCCATCCGGAAAAAATCAAAACTAGCACTCCAGCCAGCGTGACAGCAATGCAAGGTGGCTTAGCATAATCCATCTATGATGAATTATGAACTCTTACTAGTGGGCCCCATTCAAACTCAGACTTGCAGAGGTGGGAAAGTTACCCTGTAGATTCAAGTTTTCAGCAAGAGCTACCCAGAGTTAAGGTCAAAGGGCCTCAGTGAAACCTGATGGACCATGAAGGTCAACTAGCTGTTGATTTATTATTAGATGACAATATAAGTGGAAACGTCTAAATGTATCAGGAGAGGAAAATGATTACTACATGTATTTGCAAACTTATAGGTCTTGCTTCAGATTATTATTTCACTTGAGTATATAACATTACATCTTCAGGAAGTCACTTGAAAATAAAGAGCTTATTTTAAGAATATCCCAGAATAGATAAAACCCATCTCAACAATTAATACCCAACTATTCCATATAATTAAAACAATCTTGGTCCTGTACTTCCAGAGATGACTCTCTTTTCAAGATGCCCAGTTAATTACTGAATTTAGTCTATCAGTCAAAACTTTTCTAGTGTGCTCATTAAACTACTGAAATAAAATGAAAAGATGTAAAACACGTGATTTACTATCACAGAGAAGATATCAGAAAGGCTAATCTATGCTTAGATTTAGAAAATGTCCATAACCTCACATGTGTAATTAGCTAAATATTTTTCATTGGTATAGACCTACATTTTACTTCCAGCTTAAACTGAAAAAAAAGAAAATTAAAAGGTTAGCAGGAATCATCATCTTCATTTTTTAGGAGTCGAGATGTTTCCTGGAAACTAAAACCCCGCAAGTCTCCCTGAAATGAGAAACCTAGATTAAATACTCAAGTTTCCTGAATTATAGCCATGATTTTTACAATACAGCACCAACAGACTGAAATGTGGTTATTTACAGAAGGAATATAAAAAACATTGAAATGAACCTCTGAAGTAAGAGTTTCATAGAGCAAGAGCGAAGACACCACCTTATGCAGCTTTTTACCAGAACAATGGAAAAACACTGCATGGGACATAAGTCATGGCGCATACTAACATAAGCTCAAGAGTGAAATTAACACTGCATGCTCTTCAGCAAACTCCGAGAAGCCTCTTTCTCCAGCAGAGCTGGCCAATCCATTCAAGATCATGTTCCCCAAGCTGCTGCCTCTGGAGCCACAGCCTTCGGGGCACACACCTCTTCCATAGCACTTAATACATTTTAATGCGTTTTACTTTAGTTATCCTTTACACAATAAGTACCCCCTCACTCCTTGAGTTCCTTGAGAACAAGATCCAAATTTTACCCATCTTTGGGTCCCCAGAGACTGGCCTTGAGTTGACACTCAATTAATGTTTCTGGAGTGAGAATGACTGATGCTTTTGTCTTGTGAGTTTTGCTAGGAAAAAATATAACCCCCTCTTCCAAACAACACAGGAAATTCTAGAATGTGTAAATGAAGACATTTTACAAGATAGACTGCATCCTGGAAAACAGAGACAATTTAAAGTGTTTGATCAAGTGGTATTAAAACATTATCTATAGCACACTTAGGAGTTTATCATTAAAAACATATTCACGTAAGCCCTGTACAGCCCTAAAGAATCCCAGGATGTTAACCATTTATTCAAAGAATAGAGTAAGCTTAATTTGTGGGTTTTCAAATAAGAATTATCCTCCAAAATGTCTGGAAACATTCCCTTTAATCTAAACTTCAGTGAATAAACTGGAAATTAATAAGTGGCAAAATCAAAATTATATGTTTTACTTTTAATCTAACAACTGATTACGAAAGATATACAACCTAATAAAAGAAAAAACACCCATCTTACTCTTATATTGGAATTACATCTTAAAGTATTTTAAAATCAGACTGTCTTTTACGGTTAGTTAAACCCGTAATCTCCAAAATACTTTTTCACATCAAATGTCCTTATGATCAGCCCGATCACCGATTAACTCACACAAGAGGCTCGTGAAGCGGAGAAAACCCTAACAGTTACGACCCTAAGTTATCTAACGATTTAACGCGGGCGAAGCTTGTACTACCGCTTGCCCGACTCGACAATAAAAGATGAAAGTTGGGGGAATCGTTAATGTTGACAACTTCAGCACAACTCGAGGCGGCATCCGAGTGCCGGGGGCGCGGGGGCCAGGGTCGCCTGTAGGTGGGCAGCCGAGGAGCCCCCGGCGGGAGAGGCCGCGCCGCCTGAGCGGAAGCCCGCCACCCGCCCGACCTAACGCCCGCCAGCCTGGGCGCACGAGGCGGCGGCGCGCGACTCCCGAGGCCGGAAGAGCCAACCGCCCCTCCCCCCGCCGGCCCGCCGGGCC